ATAAGCCGGAGAGGGCCTTACGATTAGTTGTACTTTCAAGGCCTGACCTCGTGACCCCAAGACTAGGCTAAAGGGGCTTCTGGGCCATATACCCCGGAGAGAAACACCTAGGACCATAGTGGGTGCGACGGATGCCTTTCAAAGGCGGCAACCCTCCCTCGACCCCCGGCACCAGATGACGTGGGGCCTGGACTTGGCGTCCCTTCTTGGTCGGTTGGCCCAGTATTCTGGCCTCTGAGAATCTGGGCATAAACAGCAACTCTTAAGAATCCACCATAAACTGAGTCCCGGCTGAAGTCAGCCAAACCTGTTGAGGCCCTCTGGGAAGCCCGCAGAGGTTTCATAACGGACCCTTTGGCCCGCAGAGTTAATGGTTGAGCAGAAAAACACTTAAACTACCATTTCATCAACTATTCTTAGGATTAAACACATTGATGTCTCTGTGGTTGAAGTGGCTTAGCCGGAACCCAGAAACAAAGAGCTGAATGAGAAGGCAGGGTCTCTCCTAAGGCGCTGTGCTAGTTTGCAAACCAGGTGCCTAAATTAACATGATAAAACTTTCCTCTAACCAAAGATGGTGGTAAGTGAAAGTAAAGCCGCTAAAAGATAATCCACGCAGTATAACTTTATTTTTCTACTAACTTTTACCCTGACATAACTTGACGCAAATAATTGCGCAGAGGTTTATTGCATACACAAGGTTTCGTTTATATTATTATTGCCTTCCCCCTTCAGTTGGAACGGCTTCATAATAAAAGTACATAAATATAATATCAAGTGGCTTGAGTGAATCTTGATGTTTTTCTAGTATGTGGAAAGCTACACAAGTGCGCAATGTAAATCATTTTCCCTTTAGAATACGCCCAAGCACACCAAAAAAAAAAAAATAATAATGCAAAATTATTAGGATCAACTAAAGTGTTGAAAAGTTTTAAAATTTAAAATCCCTAAAAAGAGTTATACAGTGTTATAAAGTGTTAGTGAGTAGAAATACTTTTGGTTTCTCCCCTAGAAAACCATGGAACAGATCTCTGCCCTCAGTCCATCACAGACTTTTCAGTGCTATACTGTTAGCCTGCATTTGGAAAAATCCGTGAATCTGTTAAAATAGCAATCCATCTAACAGCAAGGGGAAAAATTACATTCATTAATGTAAAACTAGGCTCAGCCGTTCCATCGACATCAAAATTTATGTATTAACTATTTATCAGCCTTTTCTTCGTTAACTAGTTATAGAAGCATTGCATTTGAAAGTGTGAATTTATGTAGTTTGATTCCCTCCCTCATGCACATCAAATAGCCAACAAAATTATTTACCTTCCTTGGGCTTGGGTTTTATGGATCTAGGATAGTTTCCTCTCAGCCTCCAGATCTCACAAATTTGCATGGCTGTTTGAATGACATATTTACAGATAAGTTCTTATTTGCACATAAGGACAAAAAGGTGAAGTGAAATTTGGTCCCAATGGAAACCTGATAGCTTCCCTGAACATATGGCTCATTGGGCTGTTACTTCCTTTTTGAGATCATTTTCCAAGATTTTTTTAATATATACATCAATTTGACACCAGTTATAAAGAAAATATATTGGTTTCGAAGATGCCTCCACCTGGGGCATATCTTTTAATAACAAAGCTTGTAGTCAGGTGTGTCTCGGAATTTACAGGTCTTGGCGAGCAAGGCATACTTTAAAACCACTTAACACTGACAGCTGATAGTCGCTGACAGTCTTCAAAACGAGTTAGTTCTGTAGGTTCTTAGAATGCCACACCAGGATGACTAATACAGGGTAGGGGTGA